CTTATGAGCGACCCGGATTCCGGCCAAAAAGCTTTCCCTCACCCTCCTAAAGGATTTTTTGTCTTTTTCGGGGCCCGGCGTCGGAGGGTCGGCAGTTTGGGGCGCGCCCCACCATAGAGCTCTAGTCGCTCTGGGACGCTCGTGGGGCAAGCCACTCGTGGGGAGCCGGCGGAGCCGAATTGTAGAGCTTCGCACACCGGCGACGCTGGTAGGGGTCGGGGGAGGGAAAGAGAGAGATGTCATCTGAACTTGCGAACATGACATGCTGAGGGTCGGCGGCCTATCGTGGGGCTATGTTGGCCCAGCTTGGGGCTAGGTTGGCCCATCTTGAGGCCATGGTGGCCTATGCCTATGCGCACAAAGTGTTGTAATTTACAGCATTCTACTCTGTGAGATGGCAAGAACTCGTGTAAATACCAGAGTTGTAGTCCCCGAAAGTGGCTAAGGCTAAAACACTCTTATTTACAGAGTTTCGTTCACATCACGATCTTCGATTTTTTGAAAAACGCGTAAATACCAGCGTTTTTTGCGTTCATCAAGGGAAAAAATCGGTTCAAAAAGGGAAGAAAATGCTGTAATTTACAGGGATTTGGCGCCCTCACGGGTAAAAAACTGCGTAAATACAAGCGTGTCGGCGTCCAAAAGTTGCCAAAACACCGCTATTTACAGTGTTTCGTGCTTTCCACGTTTTCTTGAAATTGCAAAAACCGTGTAAATACTAGCATTTTTTGCGATCAACCCGCAAAAAATGTTGTAATTTATAGTGTTTTTTTGCTTGGCTTTAAAAACACTCGTATTTGCAGTGTTTCGTGCATCTCTGGTTGAAAACGTATTGGTATTTACAACATTTTCTGCGTTTTTGCATGGCTCCCGCAAAAGACGGCAAAACGCAAAAATGCTGTCATTTACAGCATTTTGTGAATTTCGAAAAGCGGAAAAATCGTCCGAAAAATGTGTCTAAACGGCACTTTTTTCCGATTTTAGGACCTCCAAAACGCATCTTCAAATTTCACCTTCTTTTTGTCCACCCCAGACCCCGAAAAACGTGAAAACCCCAGCAGGCTGAAGGATTTTAGGGGAGGGTCGGCGGCAGGGGCGCGCCCCGGGTAGCTAAAGCTATGCTTAGCGGTCTCACACACGGCGCGTCGCCGGATTTAAGCGCTTACGCGCGACAGCCGGCCAGGGGCCCAACTATGTTGGCCCATCTTGTGGCTATATGTTGGCCTAGGTTGGCCTCATGTTGACCCATGTGGAGCCAAAAGATCCAAAAAATGGGAACAGCAAAAAACGCTGTAAAACGCAGGATATTTTTATGGTCGGCGGCCTATCTTGGGGCTATGTTGGCCCATCTTGGGGCTATGTTGGCCTATCTTGAGGGCAATGTGGGCCCATCTTGGGGCTATGTTGGCCCATCTTGGGGCTATGTTGGCCCATCTTGGGGCTATGTTGGCCCATCTTGGGGGCTATGTTGGCCCATGTTGGGGCTATGTTGGCCCATCTTGAGGCCTATGTTGGCCCATGTTGACCCATCTTAAACCACAAGATCCAACAAAAATGTGAAAAAATGGGAAGAGCACAAAACACCGTAAAACGCGGGAGTTTTTGGCGGCCGGGTTGGTCGGCGGCCGAGGCGCGGCCCCTCTCTCCTACGGAGAGGAGAGAAACGCCTTCGGCTATGCCACGGCCAGGGGGCCCCTGGCCGGATTTATGAGGCTTACGCCTGACAGCCGGGCCGGCAAAAGCAGACCCGGCAGCCCGAGCTGGTGTTGCTGTTGGTGTTGGTGTTGGTGTTGGTGTTGGTGTTGTTGTTGTTGTTGTTGATGTTGTTGTTGTTGTTGTTGTTGTTGTTGATGTTGTTGTTGTTGTTGTTGTTGTTGTTGTTGTTGTTGTTGTTGTTGTTGTTGTTGTTGTTGTTGTTGTGTGTTGTTGTTGTTGTTGTTGTTGTTGTTGTTGTTGTTGTTGTTGTTGTTGTTGTTGTTGTTGTTGTTGTTGTTGTTGTTGTTGTTGTTGTTGTTGTTGTTGTTGTTGTGGTCGTCGTCGTTGTTGTTGTTGTTGTTGTGGTTGTCGTTGTCGTCCTTGTTTTTTTTTGTTGTTGTTCTTGTTCTTGTTGTTGTTGTTGTTGTTGTTGTCGTGGTCGTCGTTGTTTTTTTCTTATTGTTGTTGTTGTTGGTGGTGGTGGTGTTGTTGTTGTTGTGGTTGTTGTTGTTCTTGTTGTTCTTGTTGTTGTTGGTGTTGTTGTTGTTACAGTATTGTTGTTGTTGTTGTTGACCGATGTTGGCCCTATTTGGGCGCAGGTTTACCCCTGTCTTGGCCCGAAGTTGTTGTTGTTGTGTTGTGTTGCTGTTGTTGTGTGTTGTGGTTGTGTTGTTGTGTTGTTGTTGTTGTTGTTGTTGTTGTTGTTGTTGTTGTTGTTGTTGTTGTTGTTGTTGTTGTTGTTGTTGTTGTTGTTGTTGTTGTTGTTATTGTCGTTGCCGCCCTGGTTGGTTGTGTTGTTGTTGTTGTTGATGTTGTTGTTGTTGTTGTATTTGGGCGCAGTTGTGGTTGTTGTTGTTGTTGTTGTTGTTGTTGTGGTTGTCGGTGTCGTCGTTTTTTTTTGTTGTTGTTGTATTTGGGCGCAGTTGTGGTTGTTGTGGTTGTTGTTGTTGTTGTTGTTGTTGTCGTTGTCGTCCTTGTTTTGTTGTTGTTGTTGTTGCTGTTGTTGTTGTTCTTGTTGATGTTGGTGTTGATGTTGGTGTTGTTGTTGTTGTTCTTGTTGTTGTTGTCGTGGTTGTCGTTGTCGTCCTTGTTGTTTTTGTTGTCGTTATTGTTGTTGTTGTTGTTGTTGTTGTTGTTGTTGTTGTTGTTGTTGTTGTTGTTGTTGTTGTTGTTGATGAGGTTGGTGTTGGTGTTGGTGTTGGTGTTGTTGTTGTTGTTGTTGGCCGATGTTGGCCCGATTTGGGCGCAGTTTTGCCCCTGTCTTGGCCCTAGGTTAGCCCATGTGGCCCACATCTTGGCGTAATGTCGACCCAGGTAGCCCACAGCTTGGCCGATGTTGGCCCTATCTTGGCCTATGTAGTCCCTATCTTGGCCTTATGTCGGCCCATGTAGCCCACATCTTGGCCGATGTTGGCCCTATGTTGGCGCAGGCTTGCCCCTATCTTAGCCTTATGTTGACCCATGTAGCCCACATCTTGGCCGATGTTGGCCCTATGTTGGCACCAAGGCCGTCAAGATGTCCAGTTTTCTGTTCCGGACCCCGTCCTAAGACCCAAAACCCTGAAAAACCCATGGTTTTTTAACGTCGCCGAGATGAAACCCGGAGACGGCGAAGGCCACAAAACCCTGTAAAAAACGATGTTTTTTGAACACCACACGCAGAATACACTGTAAATTACAGGTATAATCGTGGACCGGGGGTGAACCGGAATCGAGCGGAGGTAAGTACGAGGTGGTCGGCGGCAGGGGCGGCAGCCGTATATAACCTTCGGTTACCACCGAAGGCCTCCGGCGAGGACACGGGCGCGGGGCCGGCGCCCGGATTTAAGCGCTGCTGCCCCTGCCGCCGACCCCGGAAGAATCAGCAATGAATCGAACCAAATTGGTGTAAATATTCTTCGGTGCTTCGCACCTTCAGGCTTTTGACCTTTTTCCTATGTATATTTTTGTGAAATATATGATAGGTTTGACAGAATTATATTTTGCTATAGTAAGAAAATCCACCCACCAAACCCCTTCACCTCCCGGAGCAGTTCCTCGACAACTTCAACCACGCAGACACGAAATAAAACACAGAGGCATCCATTCTGTCCGGCACGAATGATTCAGGTATCCTGAATTCAGGTATCGTATGCAATGGGGAGTGTTGGTGTCCAAAAAGGATATGGGAAAATACGATGGCCGGACATGCTTGGCCATCGTATTTTCCCACGTCATTTTTTTGTTGGCAAGGTGCAGCAGCTAGCTACAGCGCAGAGTATGCATAGCATGTTTATTTTGGCACTAATGGTTTGAACAAGGTGTATATAGAGTTTTCCGGCCAGGTGTCTTTGTTATCAGTGCCATGATAGTCGTACGAAAACATAACCAGAAAAAGTGCCTAACATGTCGTCTGAATCCCTAGAAAATGAACATTTTGCAAGCTGCGGGGTGGGTTGAACTGCTGCTGGTGCTGCTGCTGTTGGCTGCTATAGTAGCAGTAGCAGCAGTAGCAAAATGATCATTTTGCAAGCTGCGTGGTGGGTGCTGCTGCTGTTGGCTCTGGCAAGAAACGCAATGCTGATGGATACCGCTTGAAACGCTGAAACACCACTTATTTTCGGGCCAAAAGCGTACGAAAGCACAACCAGAAAAAGTGCCTAACGTGTCGTCTGAATCCCTAGAAAATGAACATTTTGCAAGCTGCGCGGTGGGTTGAACTGCTGCTGGTGCTGCTGCTGTTGGCTCCTAGTAGCAGTAGCAGCAGCCTGACGGACACCACCCGAAACGTTGAAACACCACCTATTTTCGGGCCAAAAGCGTACGAAAACATAACCAGAAAAAGTGCCTAACGTGTCGTCTGAATCCCTAGAAAATGAACATCTTGCAAGCTGCGCTGTGGGTTGAACTGCTGCTGGTGCTGCTGCTGTTGACATATCTAAACATATCTAAACATATCTAAACATATCTAAACATATCTGAACATATCTAAACATATCTAAACATATCTAAATACCCTGAAGTACTGAGGGTCTGGAATGCCTGGTCCTGCGGACCACCTTTCAAAGGGTCCACCTGCCAGCCCTCCGTCACCAACTCTTCCAACTCCACAGGCTCCAAAGAAAACCTTCAAGCTGAAGAACGCACCAAAACCAAAGACAGGATCAAAGGGACACAGGGAGAACAACGAGAACCAGAACTTCGAGGAGCTGGTGGCAGAGGCCACTCTGGTCACCAATATCCTCGATGAGATCCCACGAGCGACCCAAGAGAACCAAGTGAAGGAGAAGCTGACTCCACCTGACAAGATGTACGACAAGGAGCTGATGTTGCGAGCTTGGAGGCTGCAGCGCAGCGAAGTGCATCCTGCCGTGTTGGGCCTGGGTGTTGCTGAGCGCCCTTGGCGTCCAAATCCACGGTCAGCCAACAACAGCGAAATCAGAAGGCCTGAGACGGATTCACCCGTCCTGGAACAGTCAGAGAAAGCTTACAGAATCACAAAGCCGACTAGCCCAGTGGAGGCGTTGGACAGGAACGTCCGTGCTTTGTTGAACAAGATTTGCCCCGAGAACTTGGATAAAATTGTGGAAAAGTTGGCCAACGTTGAGTTGCAGAAGGCAGCAGAGCTTGAGTGTGTCATCAAGGCCATTTTGGGGAAGGCGCTGGTCGAGCCACACTACTGTGAAACGTACGCAGACATGGTTTTTGCCCTTCAGAAAAAATACCCGGAATTCCCTCCGGAAAATGAAGGGGAAAGGCCTCTCACCTTCACCCGAGTTATGCTCAACACCGTCCAGAATGAGTTCGAAAGTTTGCCAACAACGTTTGAACCTACAGATGATGACAAAGCAAAGTTCCCCGACCCAGAAGACTTGCAGAGGGAGATGAAGAAGAGGAAGGACAAGCACCCTGTCTGCACCAGCAAGGGCGGGCAAGATGGGAGCGCACGCAGATGATATCGCATGAACCAGATATTCGTAGAAAAGGACTGGGGTTCGTGAGATTCAAACTCCATATATTCTTGAAATGCTTGGAACCATTCATACTTGTTTCGTTCGGGACATTCTGCTGTTGTGCTTTGCGATTCTGTGCGCGATTTCGTCAGCTGAGGATGCTTGCAATTATGAAGTTCATTGGGAACCTCTTTTTGCGACAATTGCTATCTATCAAGGTCATTGGACAGGCCCGTCATTGGAGACGGTCGCTTCATTGCACAACACCTGTGCATAATATGTATACATATTATATATATATATAACCAAATGTTATTAAACAGTTTATTTATATACCGAAGAAACCTTGATGCACTGTGGGTTTTGCAATGACTTTGCGATGGCTTGGAAGGTGGTCAAGGGCCTGATCGGCATCCAGGATGGACTTCCGAAAGATCACATGATCGAAGGTGCCTGTGAGCTGCTGCAAGCAATTGGCTCCACGGTGGACTCCGACCCTTGGTCGAGATAGGTCCAGTTGTTGAATTCTGCCAGAGGCACTTGTGAGGCCACGATTTGTTAGGATCCGGTTGCAATTCGTTTGATGTGCAGTTGAAGTTGTTGTGACATTTGCGACTCCTTACCGCCACAAGGAAAAAACTCCACAGGGGAAGCTTTTGATGGATGCTTTCGCTGCGAGACTCAAAGATATCAAGGCCGCTTTCAGCATCAGATGCGCGTCGAAAAATTATATGCTGTATATGTATGTTGATATTTCACAGTATTTCAAGTTATTTCAATCAGTTTGACATTTGCCAGCCCTTGGACTTCTTGCACCATCCGCTGTAAAGGGATCGGATGGGCACCTGAGGAATCCAAGTGTTGCCTCTTGGCCAAACCTTTTTCATCCTTTCTCTACACATTCGAGTGTTGCTCTTGCGTATTCGAATGATTCACTATTTGCTATTCATATGATTTGTAACTTTATTTGCAATCTTTGATGAATCACACATTGGAGAGATATGGAGAGATCAGGATTCAAAACTTGCTCCAGCTTCGCGAGAATAGGTGGCAGTGTCTTGGCTTCAGAGTCCATCACGCCTCTGCGCCTGCACAGAGAGCGGCGCTCTTCCAAATTTAGGGTCAATTTTTTGAAAGATGCTGAAGGTGTAGAAGATGTGGAGTAAAATGCTGCAAATCGTATAGCGGCTTAGGATTTTTTAACGGGTCATTTGGATAATTAACCTTTGGAAGAATATTGCGCATGTTGCTGAAGGCTTCTTGAACTTGAAACTCTTGCGTTGCTGCCATATCTTGCTTGATATATTGCTTGCGCAGTCATTGCTTCCATCTCCAAGGAGGAAACTCTTCAAGGAGCAGGCCAAGACGAAGGCGGCTGTTCGAGATGAGTTTGATCAAGCTCAGAAGGCTCAACAGAATGGTCGCAGAAAAGGGCCGGATAGTCTCTCGGCAGCCTCTAGATGTCACTAGACGTTTCTATTGATGGGGGACACTGCCAGTTTTGAACATCTTAAGGTGCTTTTCTATTCTAGATCGAGAAAGCAGTCCCTTGCATAGAGAGCTAGCAATTGGCTGGTTTGGTGTGGACTGGGAAGTATCCACGACACGGGAGGTCTTATGAAGCTTATGCATGTTACTCGTGTGGTTTCCTGCCCTAGGCGTGTTCTCCTTCCAGACGGCGGGAGCGAGGCCTTCGTACATTGATGCAACTTGGACCAACAGCTGGATCAACATGGCACTGCGTACCTCTCAGGATTTTTCAGGTCGACGGGTTTTCACAGTGAAGCCTCTCTTGGCCTACCTAGGACATTGCAAATCAGAAGGGGCGCCCTCAGGCGGATACATGCCCAGAACATGGTAAGCTTGAGCAAGTGAAGAACCTTGGCAACAAAAGCAGGGGCAAGGGGTTGGATGGTTTTTGGATGGCTCTTCGGTGGTGCAACTCATGCACTCCCACTTTTGCGCTGCAACTCAGGAAGATGTGCGTGTACTTTGCAGATGATAAAGATGGGGAGTCTCTCCAGCAAGACTGGGCGAAAGCCCAGCCAAGCGACAAAGAAGCAAAGCAAGGCTGGTTGGCTGGTTGGGGGATCAGTTGTGATGCGCATATAGGTTTTACCAGAGCGTTACAGGGTGTGATTCTTGAAAGTACCATGTCCCGAGGAGTCGAGTGGCTTTTGAAGACAGGGTTCGAGGATGCTTTGCTTCAGAGTAAACTGATTTTCTATGAATTTCAAGCAATTTCTCAAGGTTTCTTGAGCAAAGCTTGCCTTTTAGTTGACAGCGGTTATAGTGTTGAGCAGATTTCGCTGCTGAGGACAGCAAGAAGGCTGACATTACGGCGGCAACGCTTGCCGAACTCATGAAAAGGTGCCTGGTCCCATGGGACACTCTCAAGGAATGCTTCTCAGCATCGCTGTCAGCTTTGCCGGACTTGAAGATCCACGGCCGCACTTGGCAGACTACTTGAGCGGCAGCGAATTCCTGTGATCATTGAAATATACAAGGGTTTACCGTGGTTTACCTTCTGTGGCCCTTAACTCGACAGTTGGAACAGCGTCGTGAATTGTTGAGTGGTGGCAGAAACGACGAGAGCAAGTGTCAACCATTCCGTTTTGCCATGTTTTGCCATATTTGGATTGCCTTTTTGCTCAGGATGGATGCCCCCCATTGTGACATCATGGTCCATTGTTTGATTGCACGCCTGCTGATGTTGGAGAATTTCAACCAGGCGCCTTCGACTACTTTAGATGTTTGGAGTTTGGAGCATGAGCCCCGCAATGCTTTGGGTCAAAAGGGGGTACCACTAAAAACTCACTAACTTGAACATGTTCGAAGATTAGAACACGCTAAACATATCTAAACATATCTAAACATATTTAAACATATCTAAACATATCTAAACATATCTAAATTTACTGATGGTCTGGAATGCCTGGTCCTGCGGACCACCTTTCAAAGAGTCTAGGATCATTTTAGACCCCTCTCCTTTCTATGCATATCATTGTACTTCTGGATATCATATATTTGATATTATTTGATTATTTGATTATATTTGTTTTGTACATAGTCGCTGCTTATGTAGTTTTTTCCCCACCTGCCAGGTGAGGGTTGTTAGATTTTATGTCAGTTGCCTGCTCCTCCTCTCCTCCTCTCCTCCTCATCTCCTCCTCCTCCTCCTCTCCTCCTCCTCGTCGTCCTCCTCCTCGTCGTCCTCCTGCTCAACTGCGACCCTCGACGCACAGTGTTCTCTGTCGGACCTCAACCACGACCATCCACACCCAGTGTTCCCTGCCGGACCTCAACCACGACCATCCTTGCCCAGTGTTCCCTGCCGGACCTCAACCACGACCATCCACGGCCAGTGTTCCCTGCCGGACCTCAACCGCGAGTATCCCCGCCCAGTGTTCCCTGCCGGACCTCAACCACGACCATCCACGCCCAGTGTTCCCTGCCGGACCTCAACCGCGAGTATCCACGCCAAAAGATATGCCACATAGAGTGCCAGAAGATATGCCAGATAGAATGTTAGAAGATATGCCAGATAGAATGTTAGAAGATATGCCAGATAGAATGCCAGAAGGTATGCCAGATAGAATGCCAGATAGAATGTCAGCTAGAATGCCAGAAGATATGCCAGATAAGTGCCAGAATGTTTGCCAGATAGAATGCCAGCAGATTTGCCAGATAATATGCCAGAAGATATGCTAGATAGAATGCCAGATGGAATGCCAGAAGATTTGCCAGATAATATGCCAGAAGATATGCCAGATGGAATGCCAGAACATATGCCAGAACATCTGCCAGAAGATATGCCAGAACATCTGCGAGAAGATATGCCAGATAGAATGCCAGAAGATATGCCAGATAAAGTGCCAGAATGTTTGCCAGATAGAATGCCAGCAGATTTGCCAGATAATATGCCAGAAGATATGCTAGATAGAATGCCAGATGGAATGCCAGAAGATTTGCCAGATAATATGCCAGAAGATATGCCAGATAGAATGCCAGATGGAATGCCAGAGGATATGCCAGAACATATGCCAGAAGATATGCCAGAAGATATGCCAGAACATCTGCCAGAAGATATGCCAGAACATCTGCCAGAAGATATGCCAGGTAGAATGCCAGGTAGAATGCCAGAAGATATGCCAGATAGAATGCCAGATCGAATGCCAGAAAATATGTCAGATAGAATGCCAGAAGATTTGCCAGTAACAAAATGTATAAATGTCATGGTGGGGATCACACGAAGTAAAGTAATTTTTTTTACTTGTTATTTGTTAGTGGCAGTGACTGTGAGTTCATTTAGCAAGAAATTATCGATCAGAGTCTGGATGGGGTGTGCCTTCCCAATGGCTGACAACTTTTTAGAACAAATTTCAACCGACACAAAGATTTGGAACCAATTGCGACCGATATTTGGATGATGTGTGCTTGCCGAGTAGTCTTGATCAGTTTGTGGACATAGTTTGCGCAGAAAGCCGTTTCGCTAAAACACATGGCCCAACATGAGTCGAACATAGGCCGTTCCAGGCCCAATTTCTTCGCACTGAAAATCACATAATTTTTAGCGCGAAGAAAATGATCCAAAAAAGGCCCCGAATCACTTCCAAACGACCCAAGATAGACCCAATATGGCTCAATAAAGGCCACAATATGAACCCAATTGATTGTGATTTTACATACCTGGTCAAAAGTATTTAAACTTGTTTGCGCACAAAAAACATGATTCTAAATTCTAACATTAAAACTCAAAGCTCCCCCAACTGACATGAAGTTTCAGAGACTTTATGAGACATTCACCCCAAGTTGAAAAGACATCAGGGGGAGGATGGAATGGGAGATTCTGTGGATTCTCTCTTTATTGAGGGCAAACAATGCCTGAAAACTGAAACAAACAGAAAAGCTAGATGAAGCTAAGGAACGCTCAGAAACAGCGAAGCGAGAGGAAACCGAGGGAAAAAACAGGTAACTTTCGGTGATGCAAATTGCATTGTTTGAACGTCCCCCATTTGTTCTGTTTTTGTTTTTGCTTTTGGCTTCATATTGGAACTTTTTCTTAAACAATCTTTTTTTATCTAATACCCTATGAATTGCAAACTTGTTCATAGGTATTCATATGTTGTATCTTGATACCTTCATATGTCAGCGTCTAGAATTTCGTTTTAGACCCAAAAACTTGGAGCCCCCAAAAGGTCTAGGGTGGTCAAGTGGATTTTCCAAAAAACGCCAAGGAAATGACTAAGGATATTCATTTTGGACCAGGGGTTGGGGGTCTAAAATGAAACCTCAGGTCCCTAGGCAATAGTTGAGGGTATTCCAAATTTCTCTAAACATGACAAAAAACTCAGATTCACCATGACCTTCAACTTGGATAACTCCGGCAATGCTCCCTGTGTTGACACTACATGACATTACCTGGCAGAGCCAAGGTTGTACTGAAGCCCATGCAGACTTTTGTCTCGCACAATGAGAACCGGGACCTGGGTTGGAGTTTGATGTGTCTTGGCCGAATTGAGTTAAGAACATGTTTGCTTTTAGAAGCTGAGCCATGCCTCAACGTGACTCTGGATGTCAAATTTTCTCGTGGTCAAGTACGTGAGCACATTCGTTTTTTCTTTCGAAACAAAACGACACCCAACAAAACTGATCTAACATTCCAGTGCCAGTCTTTTCTATATAGTTTTCCATCATTCACAGCGGAACGATTCCTACCTTTGTTATATATCCCCAGGCTTGGCATTGTCAAGAAGTTGAAGCAGGAGAACGCTCAGGATGTTGTGACAAAGGCTCTCAACATGAGCAGCTTGGCCGGACTTGCCGTTGACCACGATTCTGCTTGATAATCACAGCATGGTAACGGTTCGATTCGGTTCGGTTAGGTTCCAATTTTCCGGTTCGTATGCACGGTTCGGTTCATAAACGGTTATTGAATAAACGGTTTGGTTCTACCGGTTCGGTTTCCCCAAAAAATCGGTTCCACCGGTTCGGTTCCACCAGTTTATTCAAACAAAATCATTTGTTCATTTGTTCTCGATCTTCATCGTGACATGCCGACACCCTAGTAGAAGTATGGTTAATTGTTTCATGGGGCCAGAGAATTTTATAATTTGTATAAACCCTAAATCAAACCTTAATATAGAAATATGGTGATTTTTTCCATGCGACCGGGAGATTCCATAACTTGTATAAATCATAAACGAATCCCTAATAGAAGTATGGTTGCTTGTTCCCTGGGGGGGCAGGGGGATTTTATGACCTGTATAAACCTTCAATGAACCTTAATAGAAGTATGGTTAATTGTCACAATATGGTTTCCCAATGTGGTCCCCACTGGGGTGTCTGGGATCTCCCAATGTGGTGGCTGAATTTCCCAATGTGGTGCCCATTGTGGTGTCTGGATCTCCCAGTATGGTGCCTGAATTTCCCAATGTGGTCCCCATTGTGGTGTCTGGGATCTCCCAATGTGGTGGCTGAATTTCCCAATGTGGTACCCATTGTGGTGTTTGGATCTCCCAATGTGGTGCCTGAACTTCCCAATGTGTTCTCCATTGTGGTGTCTGGGATCTCCCAATGTGGTGGCTGAATTTCCCAATGTGGTACCCATTGTGGTGTTTGGATCTCCCAATGTGGTGCCTGAACTTCCCAATGTGTTCTCCATTGTGGTGTCTGGGATCTCCCAATGTGGTGGCTGAATTTCCCAATGTGGTACCCATTGTGGTGTTTGGATCTCCCATGTGGTGCTGAATTTCCCAATGTGTTCTCCATTGTGTCTGGGATCTCCCAATGTGGTGGCTGATTTTCCCAATGTGGTACCCATTGTGGTGTTTGGATCTCCCAATGTGGTACCCAATGTGGTACCCATTGTGGTGTTTGGATCTCCCAATGTGGTGCCTGAACTTCCCAATGTGTTCTCCATTGTGGTGTCTGGGATCTCCCAATGTGGTGGCTGAATTTCCCAATGTGGTACCCATTGTGGTGTTTGGATCTCCCAATGTGGTGCCTGAACTTCCCAATGTGTTCTCCATTGTGGTGTCTGGGATCTCCCAATGTGGTGGCTGAATTTCCCACTGTGGTTCCCATTGTGGTGTCTGGGATCTCCCAATGTGGTGCCTGAATTTCACAATGTGGTTTTGATTGTGGTGTCTGGGATCTCCCAATGTGGTGGCTGAATTTCCCAATGTGGTCCCCGTTGTGGTCTGAGTGCCTGGGATCTCCCAATGTGGTGCCCATTGTGGTGTTTGGATCTCCCAATGTGGTGGCTGTTTCCCAATGTGGTCCCCAATGTGGTGTCTGGATCTCCCAATGTGGTGCCTGAATTTCCCAATGTGATCCCCATTGTGGTGTCTGGGCCTCCCAATGTGGTGCCTGAATTTCCCAATGTGATCCCCATTGTGATGTCTGGACTTCCTAATGTGGTGGCTGAATTTCCCAATGTGGTTCCCATTGTGGTGTCTGGGATCTCCCAATGTGGTGCCTGAATTTCCCAATGTGGTCCCCATTGTGGTGTCTGGATCTCCCAATGTGGTGCCTGAATTTCCCAATGTGGTCCCCGTTGTAGTGTCTGAGTGTCTGGATCTCCCAATGTGGTGGCTAAATTTGCCAATGTGGTCCCCATTGTGGTCCCTGGACCTCCCAATCTGGTGCCTGAACTTCCCAATGTGTTCTCCATTGTGGTGTCTGGATCTCCCAATGTGGTGGCTATGTGGTTCCCATTGTGGTGTTTGGATCTCTCAATGCGGTGGCTAATTTTCCAATGCGGTCTTCATTGTGGTGTCCAGATCTTTAATCTGGTGCCTGAATTTCCCAATGTGGTCCCCGTTGTAGTGTCTGAGTGCCTGGATCTCCGAATGTGGTGCCTGAATTTCCCAATGTGGTGCCCATTGTGGTGTTTGGATCTCTCCATGTGATGGCTGAATGTGCCAATGTGGTGTCTGGATCTCCCAATGTGGTGCCTGAATTTCCCAATGTGGTCCCGGTTGTAGTGTGTGAGTGTCTGGATCTCCTAATGCGGTGGTTGAATTTCAAACATCTTCCAATGTGGTGGTTGAGGGAGTACCCCATTATGGTGTTAGAGTCTCGCGTGGAAAGCTACCAAGGCTGGAAACCAGCATAGCTGGAGCAGCATTCCCGGATTCCGGCAACAGCAAGGGCAAAAGCCAGCACAACACGGAGTCTGTTCCTATTTTGAAGACATAGGACCGTCTCATTTTCTTCATCATCAAGCTTGTTTGGCGCAGTTTCCCACCGTACCCTCCCAAGATAAAAAAATAGGAAAGCAGAAAGCCATGCCGAGGAAGCGCTCTGTAGTGCGCATGCCATTCTTTTCACTGCCCTTTCAGCAACTCCATATACCTTCACCTCTTTTTCCAAACATCATTTTCATGTCTCCCCGGTCGCGCCTCAACCAAGAGCCATACATACATTTCGAGAACGAAGAAACCACACTGGGATAGACTCTATATATCCACTTCCGGTTCGGACGGTTCGGTATATTTGTTTCGGTTCGATCGGTTCGACGGTTCCATGGCGAATTTTTTCGGTTAGGTTCACAACGGTTAGGTTCCATTCGGTTCGGTTCCTATGGTTCAGGTTCCTACGGTTCCACGGTTAGGTTACTAATGGTTGAGTTGATAGGCATTGATACAGGCAGTGATACAGGCATTGAAATAGTTGATACAGGCACTGATTGGCAACTGAAGACCACTTGAGTTTGATACTTGAAGATTATGCTCGATGATGCTTGATAGACATGCAGGTGCTTCGTATGTGCATTGTGCATACCGATTCCTACAATTGAAGCAGATCTATTGAGCTCTGGCAAGACCCCACAGCAAATTGCTGCCACCAAAAATTGTCAATCACATTCCATAAGTCTAGTAAACATAATAGTAACCATAACATCAGTACATAGTATCTAGATGTATCTAGTATCTAGTCTTCTGCACTCGGGATCGAACAAGACTCACATCTCAGGTGAGTTCATCTCCTGTGCTGCAACAGCGAGGAAGACAACTGTTCCAAATGCCAGGAAGCAGTTGCAATCAGCGTAGAAACTTAATGCTTGAAAATAGCCTGGAAGATCTCCGGTCTAGCCTGATGACTGAGGTGGAAATCAGGACGGTTCAGGCGTCACAACCATGTGGTCAAATGGCTTTCCAAGAAAAAACGTCTTACTTTGATTTTGGGATCTCTCTATCGGAAACGAAGGCTAGCACAGTCAAATCTAGGGATAAACCATGATAAGAAGAGAGAAACCATGTGCTCAGTCAGGAGAGACACTGCCTGAATTTGACCACATGGATGCGGGTGCGACAGTATCAATGAGCCTTGAGAAACGCCAAGGAATGCCATGGGCACCCTGTTTTCTTTGGGGCAACCCATACCTTCCGCCAAACTGCACAAATCTGATCCTTGCAGTTGGCCTCTGGGCAATGTCACAAAAGCGAACTATGTCGCATACTCATGTCAGCTCAAGCATTACTTTGGCAAAGGGTGCAGTGTTTTAATGTGATTTCATTGTTTTGATTTTTGATAATAGCTGCAAAGTTGCTGGGTGCTTCTAGAGCCCGGGGATGTTCAATTCAGATCGCTTTAGCGCCACAGATGTTTGTTTCACGCGCACCCAGGACCCACAATACAGAAACATGGGCGGAAAAAAGTTTTCGTAGATTCGTAGCACTGAAGTCGCTTTATGTACTTGTTGATGGTGATGAGGAAGATGTTGCGCTTGTACATTTTTGGTGCCTTACTGCAGAAGGCTAGCGGCTAGCTCAAAGCAGTCATGCAGAAGAAATGTAACCACGAACAAAGTGTTGCATCCATAATTTGATCATAGCTGATCCATAGTTTGATTTTTGCTTGTTGTTTCACCTTATGCTCTTTGGATTTGATGTATCATTTCTTGATGATGATGAAGAAGATGATGAAGAAGATGATGATGATGTTGATGTTGATGTGGGGTGCTAGGTGGAATGTATTGGGATTTGAACTCGCCATTTCCGAAGTTCATTTACCACATCCAGTGGTGAACTGGCATACATGTTGCACAGAGCTAGGCCCATCCGCAGCATTGGCTGTCCAATCGTGGGACGGGTCGGTGTCGAGTCGCAGTTCAGTTGCTTCTCAGAGTGCCTTGGCAGCCAAGCTGCTGAGCTTTGGGATCGGTTTTCTTAAGCTTTGAAAATGGGACTGTGTATTTTGACCTCTGAAGATAAAACTCTGAACCTGACAAAATGATACAACATGAACTTGACTTTTAGGCATTTATGGAATTTATGGACAACTATCAATCTAGCCAAAGGGGAACACCTGGAAGTAGTTACCAGTCGCCCTGCTAGATCCCAGCCACGCAGCTCTCGAAGTCGTGCAGCGGCTTGTCTCCTCAGTTGTTTTCTCACCAGGCTTCAGCGTCAGCGGTCAATCCACCAGCAGCCATGTACAGAGCTCAAAGGGCACCCTGGGTAGGCATTGAGCCCCAGAGCAGCGGCCATTCGACCTCAATGCTAATGTCCTCAGTGGACCTGGGTGAACCTCACACGACAGCGTGAGCATGGATTGACACGCGCCCAAAGATAAAAAATTGGACCGAGTGTCCTTATGTGCGGCTCAGCTGTGAAAACTCCTATCCGTGGCTCACTCGCTGAATCTCAATGTCTCGCCCCAATGTGATTCAGCTCCGCACGGATCTTTCGCGCCTCTCTCTCTCTCTCACTCTCTCACTCTCTCACTCTCTCACTCTCTCACTCTCTCACTCTCTCACTCTCTCTCTCACTCACTCACTGACTGACTGACTCACTCACTCACTCACTCACTCACTCACTCTCACTCACTCACTCTCACTCACTCTCACTCACTCTCTCACTCACTCTCTCACTCACTCACTCACTCACTCACTCACTCACTCACTCACTCACTCACTCACTCACTCACGCACTCACGCACTCACGCACTCACGCACTCACTCACTCACTCACGCACTCACTCACTCACTCACGCACTCACTCACTCACACACACTCACTCACTCACTCACTCACTCACTCACTCACTCACTCACTCACTCACTCACTCACTCACTCACTCACTCACTCACTCACTCACTCACTCACTCACTGACTGTCGCAGCATCCATCTCCTCGTAGTCCAGTCCCAGCATCAGAGCGTCCTCCAGAACACTCATCATGGCATCACGTTGTGCTCTGCCAATCTCATCCCATTCTTCTGGATGCATGGGCATGGACGGTGCGTCCATCTCGCCGTTGATGATCTTGTCGGTCTGCTCCTGGGTGAGGTAATCCTCGATGGAGGGGCGTAGAGATTGGACGAATTCCTCTCTTTTCGCGTTGACCTCGTTGTCTCCGAGAACGACGTAGCCACAGCGAACCAGGTGTCGAATCTCCGCAGGAATCATCCTCTTGATGTCCGGGCGATATCCAGGGTCATTGATCGAATGCCATTCTTGCCATTCTTGGTCGGTGTAATGATGAGCTCGGCGTTGCTCACGTTGAAGCCGTCGCGCTTCTCGACGTCCATGTCGCTTGCCAATGTGGTAGGCAATCAGGATGCCAAAGATCAGGATGATGCCGTAGACGAAGGTCAGCAGATAGTTGGTCACAAGGAAGGAGCCAATGGGGATGTACTCCACGAGTCCGGTGATCGTGTAAACCTCGGTGGGCAAGACTTGTGAGGCAAGTGTCATACCCCACCCAAACCTTCAGAGGCAGAGAGCTCGTGAGATTTCACCGCGGTCTGCTTCTTGTGTTGGTGGGCATGGCAGTGTCGTTTGGAACAGTACTTCTTGCCCTCCTCCGTAGCCAGTCCACATCCTGGAAGCAGACAGATCCGGCATTCTTCCAATTCTTCATCCAAGTCATTCAGGGTGAAGATGCCGTCCTCGATTTTTTTCTTGTTCTCGAACTCCTGGGAAGCTTTGTCCAGTGGATCTTGTTCATCTTGTTTCTCCTCCTTCACTACCTTGGATGCAACTCCCAAGGGGTCGTAGAGAAGACTGTGCATTCTCCTCTTCAACTCTTGTGCCAGCTTGATGTGCGCTGATGTTTTGGTCATTCCATCAGCCAGTTGCTGATGACGTTGCACCATTTGAGCACACCAGAAGCAGCAGCCATGCACTCGCTACTCATCTTGATCTCGATGGCGGTGCGCTTCTCAGCCAGCTTCATGCCAGGCGCCTTGGAGACCGAGGCGTCATAGAGCGCTCGAGCATCGGTGATGCAAGGGGATTCGCCAAGCCAGCGCATCATCTCCTCGTTGTTGGGGCGTTGATCTGGCCAGATCATCAGGGCAAAGAGACACTTGAGCCACTCCAAAGAGTCAATGGCCATTGCCAGTGTCTGAACCTCAGCTCAAAGTGAGCTTCGGCAAACTCGTGTGAGTCTTTTGGATGCCCAGTCGATGACCGTCAAAGGGAAAGGTTTGCCACCGTTGAGCTCGTCAGAGTTGGCCATAAAAAATCAGCCATCCACCCTGTGAGGATCCGTCGGGACGTGTTGCCCAACTGGCGTCACAGAACATCCCAAATCAGATGTCTTGTAGGATCGCCAGGTGGGTGTCTGCAGTTTCTTTTGCAAACCTCAGGTTTTTTTTCACCTCCAGCATGTCATCGATGTTGGTGGATGCGGTCGCAGATTGCGCCAATGAAACCGAGGCAGCCATGTGGGGCTGTCTCTAAAAGGAAAGCCAAGCCAATGCTCCTAGAAGTCCTCGTAGTTGAGATTGTTCACGTGGTGTGGCCTTTTCCTGGAATCGCATCTTGCGGCTCTTGTCGATGTTCAAAGGCTTGAGCTGATGTATGTTCTTCTCAAGGTTGAAGGTGACTGTGGATCCAGTCATGCCTTGTTCCATGTGGGTTCCACAGAAAGTCTGTTGATCGTGGTACCCCACAGTGCCAAACTTGATCGGTGCAGCAGCACATGCAAACGCTCAGCGAAACAGCTGGGTCTGTCGCCTTGTGGTTCTTTGGCGTCTTCAGGACCATAGACTCCTTCGCCACATGCCATGATGTCGTCCACATGAATTCCAAAAAGTCCATTTGACGGCATAGCTTTGGCCATCCATTTCAAAGATGGTGAAGTCGTGGTCAGACTCCGTGGCAAGTCGAACCGAGATATAGATACATCCATCCAGCTCATGCTTCAGGAGTGCCACATCTTGGATCAAGGCCATGTCAGCCGTGTCGTTCCATTGCCGTGGGGCTCGGACATCTCCAAAGGCTGGTTTGGTCATTTGCATGACCTGTCTTCTTTCAAGCCCAGCATCTCGGCCAGGAGTCTTCGCATGTCGGCGGAAGGCTCGCCGTAGATCTCGACCTCCTGATGGATGTAGTCGCTCTGCAGGAATGCGCTCTTCACGTCCATGGTGCCAATGTGCCATCTCTTGCGGCGTGCCATCAGAACCAGTAGGTACTTTTCAACTCGGGAGATAGTGGGCGACTCTGTGTCCAGCTTGGATTCCAAGACGTCCTTGTGCTTCAAGCCCTGCAAGATGACTCTTGCATGAGGTTGGTTCTCCTTGTACCTCAGCAGGAATCGCATTGGGACAATCGTTCCCTTGGGGCACTTTGACCGAGAAATTGGTTGCCATGCAGCGTTTTCAGACCAGGGAACCAATGCTTTCCTTTTGGCGATGGCTTTCTTCTCATCAGGGCTCAAGCGGCTTTCCACTACAGCCTGAAGGATTTCATCTTCAATGATTTCAGACAGATGCACTTCTTCTGTCTTCGCCTGTTTGGGTTGCGATTGCCTGTCAGCTTGTCGTCGTGGAAGTCCATCCGGGCATCGGTTGTGTTCATCAGATGCGGCTTGCAGTTCTGACTGCTTGTTCCATGAGCCTTCGCCCTCGTGCCCGGTCGGAATCATTTTCAGTTTCGGGTCCAGGGGCATTTCGACAATCTCATGGTGGGGATCCAAGACGTTCGGGTTGATCGACGTCAGCATGCCCCGAAGCTGTTGCTGCTCTTGGCTGATCTCGAAGTCTATCCTTGATCGTCAAGTCGTCCCGGTTCAGCTGGAGGTTCTGCCCAAAGTCCAGAGGGTGAAATCTTCTCCTATGGCTGAGACGGGAACATGGCAGCTTTGCCGTTCGGCAGTTTCTTCTTGGCAGAGGCCTTGGCCTTTCTCTCCTTTGACTCGGCTGGTGCAGCCACATCAGGTAGTTCGGTAGTTCAGGATCTGGGGAGATGAGGGAGTCAAGTCCTTCAAAGGGACTAGGCTCAGCAGCTGCAGTGGCAGCAGGTTCCGGCTTCGGTGCAGTTGTTGCGGTTGTCGTTGATAGCGGGTGTTGTGGTTCATGAGGGGGAACAGCACCATCTGAAGATCAGGAGATTGAGCACGGGATGCTAAGTCCAATCCACGTACTGGGCCTAGTACAGGTCGAAGAGCAGCCAGGATGCGTTCGGCCAAAGGCCTTTGTAGACCATTTTCTGGTTGAGCTTTTGCAATGCATTGTGGACACTTGTGGCGTCTGGCCACCTGCACGTATTCGTCAGACACGTGCCTGGTTTTGGCAGCCAAGACCAGTTTGGATCCATTGGGATGCCCAAGTTGTCGATGCAAAAGCGCCGCTTACTTGAGAACTTCAGGTCCTCCAATCTTCACCAGCTTTCTCCTGCAGATACTGCATCTCCTCGCTAGAGTGTACCACGAGCTCCAGAGTCATGAGCTCTGCTTGTCCTCGTTGCTGCCAGACTTCAGCCATGGACTTGTAGATCGCGTCGCCGAATTGTCGAACCAAGTCAGGCTCATAGTTCTGCATGGCCTTGAGAACAGCCCCTTGGCCCATCAACTGTGTGTGGCCGATGTCGCATTGGCATCTCAAGTTGACTGCCACACAGACCTTCTTGGAAGTTGATCCGAATTTCATTGGTTTCCTCACAAATCAAGGATCGTCAGGTGAAGCTTTGAGTCCAGTTCTGCAGCGGTCGAGCACTGTCTCGTAATACCCTTTCATGTTCTCAAGGGTTGTCGCCAGCCAAGATGCAGCATCAGCAGGTTGTTCCGAGGTGCAGTCGAAGTATATCTTCTTGGAGTCCGCATGAACTTTCTCATAGACCTTGAGGTCCTCCAAGTTGCGCATGTCTTGTAGAAGAGCTCGACGTTCAGTCAGGAGTGCGGTAGTTCAGATTCTGCATAGGGGACCATAGTCTGCACGCCGGTGTCATCATCACATGATGAGGTTTCTCCTGGGCAGCCAGCTTGCGAAAGTCGCGCTGGATTTCCAGATCTTCAAAGTTCCATCGTGGCAATGAGAACTGAGAGACCCCGACGTCAGGATAGGTCTGCCTGAGGTATCTGCCCAGGTTGTCCTCGTCGACGAAAACCTCCCAAAATTTGAGGGTTCGTTGATGGATCTTGTTCTTCTCAGCGACTCCAAAGATCACTTCGTGAATGATGTCTTCATCGACGTCAACCTCCAAATCCAGCTCTTCGTCAGAGATGTCATCGGAGATCACCGTGTCCAGGTACACCTCCGTCTCGTCAGAGACTGTTGCCTTGTAGTAGAGGTCTTCAACGTGGAGGATGTTGTTCAGGTCGTTGAAGATGTTGATCATGTAGTGACCATTGGAAGAGATGATGGGCTTGATCTCGGCATCATCCACGTACACAAGTCTCTTGCCGTAGTTCACCATGACATTTCAGCTTTCCAGGTCAGTCGGGCAAGGAGAAGTGGAGTGTGTCCTGGCAAGACATGAGTCACCAACTCTCGCCAAACCTTTCCAACGCAGACAGGTGTCCTGGCACAGAACTGAGATCGAACTGTGACACCGTCTCCAAAACGAAAGTCACGAGGATCCTTGGAGATCTCAGCTCCCATCCCACGCATGGTGAGATAGCTGTTCAGCTTGTCCCAGATTGCTTCACCACAGACAGTTCTAGTGGCTCCACTGTCCATGATTGCCCATCCGACTTCTTGAGATACAAAGTTGATCTCTTCATGCCAATGGAAATCTCCACAGGAACCGGAGTGATCTCGGTGGGAATGTCCATGACCATGTTGGCGTCGTCAGGGACTTCCTTGATGGAAGTCGGTATCTTTTGAACCGTGGCCCATGTTGTGCACTGCTTCCACTTGTAGTCGACTTTGCCGTCGTGGATGTCGATGAGTTGTTCTCCGATGGAGATCTTCGGCTAAAGACGAATCTTCTGGCTCTAGGCAAAGGGTGTCCAGTTCCAGTTCCTTCCAGCTCTTGCCTCCACCTTTTCCTTTTGATTTGCCTTTTCCTTTTCCACTGCGCATGTTGCGGCTCTTCCCAAAGGATTTTCCAGATCCTCGGCCACCAAAGTCGCTGTCGTTCAAGTCAACGGCGACCATAGGATAGAACCCACGGGACAGTGCAAGTTGTCTCATCTTCTTGCAGCTGTCAAGGTAGTTGATGTAGGCATCTTCAACTGCCAGAGTTGCTTCATCCAGCTCAGGTGGAATGCCTTCTTCGCCCACAGTGTTGTCGGCGTAGTGGATCGCATCCTCATAGCCATAACCATAGGAATCATCTTCCCACTGGTAGTAGACCTCGTCATCATCGTGGTAGTAGGTCTCGTCCAGGATCTCGTCATCGACGTTGTCATAGTTGTCGTATAGTCCACCATGTGCACGTCATGCTTGAACGTGGTGTCCTTGGCATTCGGCTTGCTATCACCACCAAACATCCTTGTGAGAGCTCGGCTGACCTTATCCGTCGTCAGCTCACCATTGCACATCGATTTCACCTGCGGGTGAATCCATCGTGGAATGCCAGCTCTTATCAGCAGATGCCATCCAGCTAGCAGCGGGGGCACATGGACGTTCAAGTCTTTGAGCTTTTTCAACATCGTTTGATGTCGAACCAGGTATGCTTGGAGTTCTTCTTGTTGTTCTCGTTGGAATTGTTCGAAAAATTCCTGGTAGTTCAACTTCTTCTTCATGCTGGAAGAGCGAGTCCAGAACTGTCGTGATCGGCTTGAAGGGGGTCTTCCGCCAGCTCGATGTCGTCATAGTCCAGGCTCTCCATCGCGTCCCAAGCTACATCTTGGAGCTGAGAGAGGACCAGGAAGGCAATTTGAATGGCGACACCAGCTCCTCTTCGTTGGCATTGTCGACTGAACAAATCCAACCTTCTCCAGTATGACTATGACCTATATGTCTTCGGCCCGTTGGCAGCAGGTGCTTGTTGCGCAGCAGGTGCCGCGGGTGAGGCCTTAGCGGCCTGTGATCCACCTCCATTTTCGTGGCAGGATCCAGGAAGCAGGCCCGCGGATGCCCAACTGGGCTCAGCTACCAATATCAATCCAGCCAAAGGGGAACACTTGTCTCCTCAGTTGTTTTCTCACTGGGCTCCAGCGTCCAGCAGCCATGTACAGAGCTCAAAAGGCGCCCTGGGTGGGCATTGAGCCCCAGAGCAGCGGCCATTCGACCTCAATGGACCTGGGTGAACCTCACAAGACAGCGTGAGCATGGATTGACAACAATATATATTGGAAAATATATAATGCAAAATAAGCACATTGCCTAGCGATTTCGTGCAGAACTGGAGCCTGTTTGCCGGAAACAGGACGTTGAGCTGAGCTCGATTGTCTTTGTATTGAACTTTCAAGTCACGTCTGGAATCTGTGAGTCCCCTAAAGACATCTAAAGACAGTGTTCTTGTTCTTGTTAGATCATTGCTGCTTTGGGCCCATGTGTAGGTGTGGAAATCATGCATTTGGGCGTCCTACCCATCAAAAAACACTTTTCAACTCATGCCCATGTCAGGTCCATTTTCATCCATTTGGTAAAAAGAAACCGCCACAGCTGTGATTCCCAAAATCTATGGAGCTAAAATGTCACCTTTAAATGAAACCTACTCCTTGCTGCAATGCTTCCAATTTTGGTAAACCTGATCAGGATGTTTGTGAATCTGAAGCTGAATGATGATGAAAAAGAGTTCAACTAAGCCACAGGCTGGGCCCAGTTCTTTTCCAAATCTGAAGTAAACCGTAAACCGTGCTTTTTTTCCACCAAAATCGCATGGCAATATGGAAGTGGCGGAAACTCCGTTTTGCTGAGGATGTCCGAAAAAGAGCGCACCGAGGGCGCCAAGGGGATCCTGGACAACACTGAAGAGTCCGGGACCCGGAGATGGGGTGATTTCACCATATTTCACAATATTTCACCAGCAAAAAGTGTGCATTTGACTATAGAGGTTAAAGTGCCACACATCTAGGGATTTCACCATCAAACATAGGGGAAATCACCATGAAGTATGGGCTTCACAGCACTATAGTAGTTGATAGTTGGGACTTAAGTCGAGCTTAGCATGTCTTCCCAATAGATGGTTTAAACTGGTTTTGTTGGAACACCTGCAAACTCAACAAGTTTTAGCAGCAGACACCGATGTCGGACCAGCCAAAATGGGGATACTCCGTGATTCATGCCAAGAATTGGGAGCAACACCTTGATGAATTTGATTTGGCTTTGAGTAACTAAAAGATTGGATGATTATTGCATGATTTGGGAGCTGGGGATGTGTTGCCGCCGGTTTTTTTTAGCTACGGCCACATGACCACACTGATTGGCAGGGGCTGATGAAATGCGACCTGCATCAGCCATCAACAACCACCCAGCGCCAAAATCTTTCATGGTATTCAGGATACCAGTAGTACCGCACAAGGCGGTGGCGGAAGTTTCAATTATAGGACACTATAGATACTATAGGAGAGGTGAGTTGTTGTGATGCATGGATGGCAGAGCGAATCCACTGATGGACCGAAAGGTGGTTGGAGCTGTGCTTTTTGGAGTGGTTGCAATGGTTGCAGTGGTCACCTCACTCACAACTCCTGGATGTAGTGTGGTGTAGTGCAGTAGTTGTAGTTGTAGTTGTAGTGGGGTTGATGTTGTTCAAGTTGTAATGTTGTAGTTGTGGTTGTGGTTGTAGTTGTAGCTGCAGTTGTATTTGTAGCGTAGTTGAAGTGTAGTTGAAGTTGTAATTGTCTTATTTGTTGTAATGAAGTAGTTGCAATAGTTGTAGGAGTTGTAGTCGTAGTTGTAATAGTAGTTCAAGTGTAGTTGTAGTGTAGCTTAAGTTGTAGTTGTAGTTGTAGCTGTAGTTGTAGTGTAGTTGTAGTTGTACTTGTCGTTGTAGTTGCAGCTGTAGTGGCACTTGTAATTGTAGCAGTGGTTGTAGTTCTGGTTGAAGTGTCGTTGAAGCTGTAGTTGTGGTTGTGGCTGTAGTTCTTGTATTTGAAGTGTAGTTGAAGTGTAGTTGAATCTGTAGCTGTAGTGGTAATGTAGTTGTATAGTTGTAGTTGTACTTGAAGTTGTAGTTGTAGTGTGGCATAGTGCAGTTGCAGTTGCCTATCTATCTGGCTACCTATATACCATATATCTGCTTATCTATTTGCCTTTCTGTTTATCTATCTATTTATCTATCTATCTATCTGTCTGTCTGTCTGTCTGTCTCTCTGTCTATCTGCCTATCTGCAAGTTTGAAAACGCAGCAATTCTGCGAGACGTCCTCAATTTTTGAAATTGACAACATCAGAAGCGCAGCAAATCTGCGAGACTTCTTCAATTTTTGAATTAAACAATGTCAAAAACGAAGGAGTTGTGCGAGACTTCCTTAATTTTTGACGTTGACGACATCAAAAACGAAGCAGTTCTGCGACTTCCTTCAAAAATGGAAAGTTGAATGCAGAGCTGACGTCCTTCTGCCAATGCGTTTTGCGATTTTTCCTCTCCATTTGTAAAGTACCGCGCCTGCCATCAAAAAGTGATGCCAGGTCATGCGAAGTGCTACACCTGTCACGCAAAATCATCTCAGCAAACCTGAAGATCTGATGCTCCAAAATGCAGCCCCTCTCAGGAAATCAGCGCCCTGACCTCCTAACATCTCTGATGAACATGTCTCTTGTACTGCGCCTGCCATGGAAAATGCATCTTTGCAGATCCTCTTTAAATGTCCCACGCCTGCCATCATTTTTGGAAATGCTACAAAACCTTCACGTTCTGCTCATTTTTGACAAGGTGCGCAATCCCTTGCGCTTTCCACGCGAAAAGACATCTGAACGCACAAAAGTGGTCCAAACATGTTGTGTTTTTAACATTTTGACTTCGACATGTGCTTCGCACCACAACGGCGTGCACTTTTTCGACGTGTCAACTTCCAAGAGTGCTCCGAGAATGGTGTGTTTTTCGCCACATCTTTGTGTGAGGTTCTTGTTTTTGACCGCCTCCTCCTCCGCCGCCTCCCGCGCCGCCGCCTCCAACCATCTTTCACATACACGCACACACACACATTTTTGTCAGAAACAACTTTGTCACACACTTGCTCAGAAACATCATTGCGAATTTCTGTTGTGGAATGCATCGCACGTGCAAAAGCAATCCAGTAAACCTGACAGGAAAATTTGGTTGACTTAGCGTGATCTTCAGTGAGAAGTATTTTCTACGTCCTTGCTCGGAAGTTCATCAGGTTCTGATGCAGCTCAATACCCAATAAATAAATAGCCAAAGAATAAACAACTGTTCCATTTGACGAAGTCAGCAGTAATTCAGATTGCGAGAACCGTACAAGAAGAAAATTCGACATGCCGGTACTTGGCTTAGCCGGTCGCCATAACCAGTGGAAATTGAAGCAGGTACGCAGAGCTGATCAGGCTCTGTATCCCATACAATCAGGTAGCTTCCTTGGACGTGGTCCCTGATTGTATGCCACGCCCCCCTGCTCTGAAAAAGATTTGGATTTTGATTTGGAAACAGCATGGTAGTTTGACCACGAAGCAAGAAGCAAAAAACCGAATACCTGATTAATGACAAAAACGACATCGTCGAGTAGAAGTTTTACATCTTTTCAAATGTTCCACACACACGCCTCGCTGCCGCGAGGCTGACTTTTTGCAACTGCGGAGACTGTTTTGAATCTCTTATTCGGACTATAGCGATTATCGCGAGTCAAAATACAGGGAAGAAATGTGCAACTGAATTATCCGAGTTGCTCAAGGCACCTGCCAGCACAAGGATCTTAGGCAGAGTCACTGATTTCGGAGAGCGCCTCCATCTGTGCCGCCTGTCGCGACAATTGGTCAGTGGTCTGGGCCAAGTGGCTAGCCAGGTGAGCCAAGTCTGCTGCCGAAAAGATCTGAACCGGATCCGTATGAGGGCTCTCTAGTTTCTCCAATATGGCCAAGTTGGCCGCTCTGTCATTGTTGTGGATGTTCCAGAGAATGGTGGCGAACTGGTGGATCTGGACAGGAGCTGCATCTTGTCCGGCATGGACAACCACAGAATCTGTGTCATCCATATCTGAGCCCGAGTGCGAGGCTTGATTTCCTTCAGCTTGGTTTCCGCTGTCGGACTCTTGTGGATAATAATGCCATGTTCCCGTTTGATGCATCTCTGGGATCTGGAAATGCTTTCGCCAGTAATTGGCAATATGGGTGGCTTGTTCCCAAGAATCGAAGTATCCACTTTCATTGACACGGATGTGACCGATGATCCCATTGAAGAAGAACTCCGGTTGCCTATTTCGATGATTTCCCCTTTGATCCACTTCCGTCACCATAAGGCGACGAATATCGGGTAAATTTGGGTCGGGATTTGGCTCCCGAACCTCCGTGAAATAGTGGGCATGAAGCTGGCGACGTCTTTCTTGCATTTCTCTCTGGAGAGGATATGACTCTTCTTATCTTGGAACAATGGGAGTCTGATGATCACTGGAAGCAGGAAGTGGCACTGACGGAGCTGCAGTGGAGTACCCAGGATGAGATACATGGATGCTAAGATCCTCATGACGGGATGGATACCAGGCAGCTGGTTCAGTAAGTTCATTCACTCGACGGTGGGAGTGATAGCCATCTGAGGGGCCTGCACTGTTGCTGGAGTATCCATGAGAGCGAGAGTGACGACGCGGCATGCTCATCGGAATGGGAGGAGAAGTGAAACCAGCGCTGATGGAATCACGTTTGGTCATTATACAGCTGGAGCCAAGAACTAGAAAAAAGAAATGAAGAAAGAACACCACGACATGACAACAACACCTCAATGCCAGGAAGGGCACCTTTTTTGTCAGGAATTATAGAAGCATGTTGCGATTTGGAAGAGCCTCATGGCAACTCACGCGCATGATATATGGCTGAATGTGAGACGTAAAGAGTTGAATATTATCTGGAAGGATCTCACTATGTTCTTGTCCCTCAGTCCAATGAGGACGATACGCGCTCAGATAGGCAACCAGGCAGTCATCATTGCGGAGAGCAAATGTATCTCCAGTGTCGTCTTGCCATCTGATGTCCATAGAAGAAGGAGGTAAGAATCGATCCCACGTATACCAGATATGCTGGCTGATGCAATTTCACAGGTTGTACACCGTGAAGGTTTCCAACCGGTGTGTGTTGAGCAGAACATTGTAAGTGAACAGTGCACGTTCTTCAACA